CTGAAAGGAGGAAAAGAAAAAAAAAAAAGGACCAGAAGGCACGCCCACTTCTGCCAGGGTCAGGGGATAAGAACAAATATTCCGGGTGGGAAGGGATGGGGAATTCTGGCCCCATCCTCCCCCTGGCAGGAGGCCCTGGTTCAGAGCCTGCCCTGTGGGGACATGGTGTCTGGAAAGTTGAGGGGTGGGGTGACCTTGAGAATCAAAGCCTACGAACTCAACGTTGCAGGTGGGAGTCACTCCAGGGTGGAGGAATGGTTGTCTGCGTCCTGCCAGGCAGCGCGGGCACCCTGGGTACCCGCGGCTTGTTTGCCCTGCGGGTCTGCGGACCAATCATCAATCGTCTCCCGGTACTGAGGCGGGGTTCCCCAGAAACCCAAGCCCCTGGCTGTGGCGGGGCCCCCGCTCCCCCGGCCTCCCGCCTCCCGGCCTCCCGGCCTCCAGTCCTGGCCGCTGCCCCCTGCGGGTGGATCGATTGGTCGTCCGCCCATTAGCGGGGGCGGGCGAGGCTGCTCGTCCATGTTTTAAGGAATGACCGGGCCTTGGGGTCCGGAACTGCGCGCCGGCGGGGGCTGAAGATCGGCTTTTTTTTTTTTTTTTTTCCCTCCCTTTTCCAATTGTCAGCGCTATTTTTACCTCCGGAAAGCTGGCCGCCCCCTCCCCCTGCCGAGCCTGCGCTGCGGGTGGTGTCTCGCGGGGCTCGGCGGGGGTCGCGGTCCCTGTGCCTGGAGGTGGGTTAGGAGGGCCATGGCTTGGAAGGCCGTAAGCAGAAAGTGGGTCAGTCTTCCCGACCCCGCCCTCTGAAGCCCTAACCCATCAAAAAAAAAAAAAAAAATTACACCACCCCATCCCTCCCAAAGGAAGAGAACCCTTAGGCGGTGGGTTGGGGAGCTGAATGGCCTCCCCGCCCCACAGAACCACAGGGAAGACTGCCTTTGTCTGAACCCCAATACTCAGGAGGCCTGTGAAAGTAAGGGCCACCCCCACTCCACTCCTGTCTGCCTGTCCCTAGATCCAGTGTCTTCAATGTCCAAGGGCTATGGCCTTTGCATCAATATCAGGAGCCCCTGTAGGCCACGGCTGTAGCACTGTTTTATCAATGGGGAAACGGAGGCCCTGGGAGACAGGGTCTTGGCCAAGCTCAAGCCCAGATCTCCCAGTGCTGATTCAGCCACCTCTTCTAGCACCGTGGGGCCATAGGAGCAGGGATACAGGAACATGGGCGGTCAAGGAAGGACAGCCAGCGCAGGGGAAGGCTTCCTGGAGGAAGAGTAGGTTGAATGGTTGGAGGAGGGGCACAGTCCAGGAAAAGAATGACAGGAAGAGATGGAGGGAGAAGAGAGACTTCCAGGCTCACCCAGAGAATGGGAACAGGGTGACACTGTCCGGCCTACTTCCAGTAACTCTTGATTCTGTCCCCTCTGACCCATCATCAGTACCGCTCACACAATGGTTGATTGGCTTGATTGATGATCAATTTGGCTGGTCCCCAAATGGGCAGGAGACACCTCCTGGTCAGAGGTTAGGGGACCCAAGCCCTGCCCATGACTGCCCATGGATTAGCACTTTTCAGAGCCCCTATTTAGAGACGGGGGTGGTCACAACTTGAGATCAACCCAGGCAAAAACCATGAGACCCTTTCCAAAAAATAACTCAATGCAGAAAGGGTTGGGGGCTGGGCTCAAGTAGTAGAGCAACTGTCTTTAACAGCCACAAAGCCCTGAGTTCAAATTCCAGTACCTCAAAAGAAAAAAGAGTCCACCTCCTGTCCTGTCCTTCCAAGGAGGGGTGGTCCAATCTTCTCATTTTCCAAGTGAGGCAAGGGACATTCAGAGATTTGGGGGCGTGTGAGCCCAGGTTAGCCAAGGTCTCTGCACTTGTACAGTTCCTGCCCTAAGGGCAACTGAGTACAGCACACCCTTGCTTTGGCCGTGGCAACACCATCCGTGCTGTGGTTTGCAGGCTCCCCTGTATATCCCCATGTCTGAGTATCACTCCCATCTGTAACTAGGGCTCCCTGCTGGCTCTGGTGCTTGGTAACTTTTTTTCTTTGTTCTTTCACTTTTTTGGGGGGGGACAGTATTGGGGATTAAACTCAGGACCAGAGTTCTGCCAACTAAACTACACACCCCAGATCTTTAGCTTTTAGTTTAATTTTCAGATAGGGTCTCGTGCTTTGGCCCTGGCCAGGCTCAGACTATGATCCTCCTACCTCTGTCTTTCAGGTAGCTGGGATTAAAGGTGTATACCACCACACTTGGTTTGGTAACTTTCACCTCTGGCTGTTCAACTGCTGCTACTTCTGTGTAGTCTGGACACTGAAGTCAGCTGTGCCTGCCATCAGGCCCATAGGCTCCTGCTCAGCCAGCAAGGTGGGGGAGGTAGGCCAGGGCAGTTCTGACCGTCCAGGATTTCCCGGTCAGTCCCTCCTAGTACATGACCTAGGGCATGACCACACTGGCCACAGCCTTGACAGAGGCCTTAGAGTACCAACTCCATCAAGGGCTAGCAAGGAGACTGCCTTGGGCCCTGTTCCCCAGTTGTTTGTTTGCTTGCAGTACCGGGGCTTGAACACAGGGCCTACACCTTGAGCTACTCCACCAGCCCTTTTTTTTATGTTAGGTATTTTTGAGATAGGGTCTCGTGAACTATTTGCCCAGCTCAGCTGATCTCTGCCTCCTGAGTGGCTAGGATTATAGGCATGAGCCACCAGTGCCCGACTCTGTCCCCAGTTTTGTCCCTTTTCCCTGCTATGGCTTTTCCAGTCAGTAGGAAGAGCAGGGAGGAATAAGGAACCCCACTCTGGGACCAACTTCCTGCCCCACATGGGACCTCATTATTTCACACGGAGACATCTATACCTACTGCCCCAGGCTGCGGTGTCCCTGCCTGACACCCAGTAGTACAGGAAAGAGCTGCCACTGTGGAGAGCATGGCCTGCTGAGTAAGTAGAAGGGCTTGGAGCCCTGGAACAGGGCCTCATGGGGTTAGCTGCAGCTCCACCCCTACCCCAGGAAATGCTACCCCACCCCCCCAGGTCAAGACAAGACCAGCCTAGGCTCTCCACCTTCCTTGGAGTCCACGGGGAGGCCTTGTTGCATTTCTGCTTTCCCTCCCCCCAGGGGGTACAGCAAGTGTCAGGATATAACTCTCCAACCTGCCTGCTGCTCCCTCTCCACCACCCAAGAGTTCCTACTCCACTTGGGGAGGCAGACCTCAAAACAGACTTGGGACATCCTGCACTATCAAGGGCCACACAAGAGGGGACTGTGAGCTTAAAGAAGTTTATGTCTGCCTGGGCACAAGAGAGAGGGGGGAGGTCAGGGAAGGCTGCCTGAAGGAAGTGTCTCCTGGATTAACTATGGAAGAGTGAATAGGAGTTAGCCAGGAAAGGAAAGGAGGTGGGACAAGGCAGGAAAAACATCAGGCCTGGGCAAAGCTTGTGGGAGCCCCAGTCCTCACTCCCCCCAACTTAATGAACTCTGAACACCACCCCCTAACTCCCAGTGTTCTGATAGGTCCCGTTGCAGTCATTGTTCAGGATGTAGTTCCAACTCAGGTCCCAACTCCTGGAGAAGACTTTCCTGACCCTCTTCTGCCCCGCCCTAGTACTGAGCACTGGTCCTTCCTCCTCAGGTGGCCTTGTCTCCTCCTTAGGTCCGCCCTGTGGTTACTGACAACAAATCTCTGGCCAAGCCTGCCCCAAGGAGTGAAGGAATTCCCACGCCCTATGGCCTAGAGGCCTCGCTGATCGTCTCAGGAAGTGGGACAGCTGTTTTTATCTGGCGTTTAATTACAGGGCCTGGAGCCCAAAGAGTATCTGAGATGGTGTTCCCAAGAGCTGAGAGGGAGGGGCAGGAGTCACGTCAGGCAGAAGGATGGGCCCTTCTTGGACCAGGCATGGTGGCTCATTGCTATAATCACAGCTACTCAGGAGGCTGAGGCTGAGGGAGGAGGATCATGGTTTAAGGCCAGATGGGGCAAAAGCTTGAGTTTCTATCTGAAAAACAAAAACAAAAGGACAGGAATGTATTTCAAGTGATACAGTACCTAACTAGAAGCAGAAAACCCTAAATTCAATCCCCAGGACTGCCAAAAAATATACATACATATATGTGCCCTTCTGTCTGGGCTGGCCTCAGACAGAGGGGCCCCAGGACAGAGCCACATCTTCCTGCTTGTTCCTGTGTGAAATCACCCAAAGGAAAATAGGCGGGGGAGGGGTGTACACACAGCTGGCTGGGTCTGCACCCCTACGGTTGCTGGCCACCTTGGGGACAAGGAGGCAAGTCCCCAAGGTGGTGAAGGATGGAGTTGCCTGGCAACTCCAGGAAGAAACTAGAATGAGGAGACAGTTGGGAATTCATGGATTCAGGCTTCCTCAGGACGGTGATGTGTGGAGACACACACCATAATCCCAGACTGGGGAGGCTGAGGCAGGAGGATTGAGAGTTCGAGGCCAGCCTGGGCTACATAGTAAAATCCTGCCTCAAAAAAAAAAAAAAAATTCTAATCCATCAATGGATTAAACCGTGAATTAATTAGGTCAGAGTCCTCATGATCTAATCATCTCTGGCAGCCATCACAGACATCCCCAGAAATGTGCTTTACAGATCTCTTAGCCCTTCTCAAGTCAAATTGACAAGATGATGCCCTTGGGCCCAGGAATCTGTCTAGATTCCTGCCTTGTGGAACCAGGGCAAGGTATGCAGAGGGCACAAAACCAAGCATGGTGGAGGAAAGGCAGCTGGCCAGGTGCGTGGAGAACACCTGTGCTTGCTGGAGCCCTGAGTACCTTGCCTGCAGCAGACGGGTCAGGGAAGGGTGTCAGGCATCGCCATATTTGAACAAAAGGAGGTGAGTGAGGCAAAGAGAATTCCAAGCCTAAGATGCCAGAGATACGCCCAGGCAAGTGAACACTGAGGTCACTGGAGGCTCATGGCGGGGCACATTGGTCTGAGGTTCCAATAATGTCACCTGCTCTTCTCTCCGCAGCCGCAGGGGGCTGCGATGGGACGGAAGCCATGAATGGTGCCACCCTGGCCCCGCCGCCCCCGCCACGGTCCCGGACTGGCGGCAGTTCTGCGAGCTGCACGCGCAGGTGGCCGCCGTGGACTTTGCACACAAGTTCTGCCGCTTCCTGCGGGACAACCCGGCCTATGACACACCTGATGCCGGGGCCTCCTTTTCCCGCCACTTCGCCACCAACTTCCTGGACGTCTTCAGCGAAGAGGTGCGCCGCGTGCTGGTGGCCGGGCCAGTGTCCCGGGGAACAGGGGACCCCACCGACGCCATGGAGCCTGAGCCCGCAGAGACGCCGGCCCTCAAGGCGGCGACCACCTGTGGTCACTCGCGGAGCTCGGAGGACGCGTCCACGCACCTGGCAGCCAAGACCCGCGTCCGCAAGGGTTTCTCACTGCGCAACATGAGCCTGGGCGTGGTGGACGGCGTGCGTGACATGTGGCACCGGCGCGCGTCGCCTGAGCCCGACGCTGGGGCCACCCCAAGGGCCACCGAACCCTCAGCCGAGCCGCGTGACAAGTGGACACGGCGTCTGCGGCTGTCGCGGACGCTGGCGGCCAAGGTGGAGTTGGTGGACATCCAGCGCGAGGGCGCACTGCGCTTCATGGTGGCGGATGATGCAGCCGCGGGTCCCGGGGGCGCAGCGCAGTGGCAGAAGTGTCGCCTGCTCCTGCGAAGGGCTGTTGCTGGGGAACGCTTCCGCCTGGAGTTCTTCGTGCCGCCCAAGGTGAGTCCCCTCGGGTCACCAGGGGAAGGGTGACCTTCGTGCCGCCCAAGGTGAGTCCCCTCGGGTCACCAGGGGAAGGGTGACCTTCGTGCCGCCCAAGGTGAGTCCCCTCGGGTCACCAGGGGAAGGGTGACCTTCCTGCCGCCCAAGGTGAGTCCCCCTCGGGTCACCAGGGGAAGGGTGACCTTCGTGCCGCCCAAGGTGAGTCCCCCTCGGGTCACCAGGGGAAGGGTGACCTTCGTGCCGCCCAAGGTGAGTCCCGCTCGGGTCACCAGGGGAAGGGTGACCTTCGTGCCGCCCAAGGTGAGTCCCCTCGGGTCACCAGGGGAAGGGTGACCTTCGTGCCGCCCAAGGTGAGTCCCCTCGGGTCACCAGGGGAAGGGTGACCTTCGTGCCGCCCAAGGTGAGTCCCCTCGGGTCACCAGGGGAAGGGTGACCTTCGTGCCGCCCAAGGTGAGGGGGAGAGGGAACAGGCAGTGGCAGCTCACGCCCCAGTACACGCTTGGGTGCACATCATTGCAGAGCCCGAGGGAGGTGACAGGTGGGCACCTTTGTGGAGCAGACGGCCTGATCTGGCTGACAGGATGGAGTCTTGGTCACAGGAGCCTGAGACGTGGGCCCTGCCCTGCTTGGGGGCAAGTCACCTGGTGGAGCCAGCTGCACCAGTGGGAGAGGGGTGCTGTCTGCCTGGAGGGGCTCTGGGCTCTGGCCTTGATATTGAGGAGTTCCAGAGGCTGACCTCCTGTTCCCCCTCCTCTGGCCACCAGAGTGAGTGTTGCCTAGAGCTGCCTGCCCAGTGCAGGCAGGGAGCGAAGCGGGGCACTCAGCGCTGTCTGGCTTCCTGGGAATCTGCCACCTGAAGCCCCTGCAGGGGAAAGCCAGGCTTCTCTCTGGCTGCCACCAACATCTCAGCTGAGTACGCTGGCCATCAGAGCCCTGAGGGCAGCTTGGGGTCTTCTCCAGGGTGGCAAACCTGCCTTGTTTGAAAAGTGTCATGATCCCAGTGATGTCTGCTTTCAGAGAGCCCATAGCGGGTCCCACCTGGTGGCCATCTGTGTGTACAAACTCCTCCTGATACCCTGGCATGGTGGGCATATGGTCCCCAGGTCACAGAAGAAAACAAACCCGTACTTGGAGGAAGGGTGCGGCCGCTGGTGGGTGGCAGGCTAATTATACCCATGACTGTGGTGGTCTTCAAATGAGAGAAGCGTGGTCGTGGAGGCCCCTGAACACAGTGCTTGTGTTGGCAGCAGTTGGAAACACCCCAGAACCTGCCCCAGGCAGGGTGCTCAGCGCGCCCCTCCCTGCCTCTCCTTGAGGTACAGGGTTGAGGGCTCCCCAAAACTGGGTGCCCATGAGCCACTTGGGACAGAGGGAGGTGACTTCCCAGGGACACACTCTTCTCTGAAGAGCTTTCTCCCCAAGACTTCCCCCAGACTTCCCAAGGGCTTTTTGCCTGCCAAGACCTCCATCCTTAAATCCTTGAGAGAAGCTGGGAACACTAGGCTAGTCCTACTCCTTGGCAGGCAGGAAGACCATAGCCCAGTTAAGGGTCGCTTGCCCGGGGTCACCCAAAGGACAGGGACAGATGCTCAAGGCTTCACTGCCTCCAGGCCTAAGAAGCAGTCACAGCTGCTGGTCTGTAAATAGCCGTGTCTGCTGCCCTGGGGGAGGGGACCCTGCATCTGGTGCATTCTGCATTCGTCCCCTGGGGGCCCTCAAGCTTTACCACTAACAGAAAGCAGGGTTCTGTCCTCCCAATTCTGAAGAAAGCAAGCGGCTTCCTAGCCCTTGATCTAACTTCAGTCCCTCCTTTTATTTTGATGCAAAATAAATCCTAATAAAAGGGTGATAGATATACCTTGCCCTTTTTCTGTTGCTGTAACAAAATGCCTGTGGCTGGGTATTATATAAAGAAAAGAGATCCATTTAACACAGTTCTGGAGGTTGAAAGTCCAAGACCAGGAAGCTCCATCTGCTTAGCCTATGGTGAAGGTCTTCTTGGCTTGACACAACATGGCAGAGGGAGAGAAAGAGAAATGACCATGTGCAAAAAAAGGCCAAAGTGTATAGAGTGACCTCAGTTTCTAATAACCCACTCTCCAGTCAACTAACCAGGTTCCCTTGTGAACTACATGAATCTCCTTCCAAGGCTGTACCCCCAGTGACCTAGCCACCTGCCATTAATCCCCACCTCTTAAAGGTTCCACCATCTCAGTGTCTCCACATTGGACACCAGCCCTCCAGCATATGAACCCTTAGGGGGCAAACAAGCAACACCCAAACCATACCACATGGCAAGGGCTTGGGTTTGGTCTCCCAAATGTGTCTGGGCCCCAGGAGACTGGCCCCCAGGGTGAAGGAATCCCTGGGGGCACCCCTGTTGAGGTCCCCCACCCTGTTCACCTGCCCACAGTCCAGATCTGTCTCCAGGCTCAGGGACCATTTCCTGCCATCTTTACACTTCCTCTCACACAGCTCTTGATGTTCCAGCCCAAGTAGGATCTCTAGCCAGGTCCCACTTGCCCCTGAAGAGTCTCCTGAGTCCCAGGGCCCCTCTATGCCACACCAGCCTTGGCAACCAAAGAAGCAGTGAGAACCAGGCATGTAATCCCAGGTTCCCCAGAGGCATAGGTAGGAGGAGTGTGGTCCAAGACTGGACCAGGCAAAAGCATCAGGCCCTACCAAAAAAAAAAACAAAAAGCAAAACACAACAAAGTATTGGGGTGTGGCTCAAATGGTAGAGCACCTGCCTAGAAAGTGCAAGGCTTTGACTTCAAACCCCAGTACCACACCCCTCAAAAAAAGAAGCAATGAGGCTATCCCCCACCATTGAGGGCAAGCATCAGGAAAATAGTATTGGCAGGACTGGGGTGAGCTCCTGGAACCTGGAAAGGGGAAAGCTTGGGTTACATAAGTCGTCACAGATAGCATGTTCCAAGGTCTGGAGTTAGAAAGTGGGCACAGTAGCTATGGCAGGAGCAGGTTAGAGACAGCTGCACCAGGACAGATGGCCACAGCAGCCCTGGCCAGCAGGAGTCCAGTTGGAGGTCCTAAGCTAGGTCTTCACAGCAGACTTCTGTCTGCTCTCCCCACTCCATGACTGCACCTCCAGCCCACTAATGGCTGTGATGGCCTGGTCAGCCAACCCCCTCCATTACTGCTCCAAGCCTAGTCCTGTGCCCACTGGACAGTGGCCAGGACTGCCAGGAATTCCCAACCGCCTGCCCACCTAGTATATGGCCCTTCCTTTTCCTCTTAAGAAAGTCCCTGTACCCGAGCCCAATCCCTGCCAGGAATCCCAGTCCCAGGCTGACCCAGGGGCCCTCAGGTCCATAGTCAGGGGCTTTGGGGCAGAGCACAAAGGACCAGGCCCACAGTGGTCCAGGAAGCCTTGCCAGCTCACCTTGGCTCACCCCTGCAGTGACATTGGAACACTAGTTCCTTTTATCCACACCTAGAAAAGGCCCTACCCACCTCCTGAGCCCTATTCTGAGTCAGCCCAAAACAGGAGGCTGGCTTTTTTTTTGTAGTGCTGAAACTGTATTCAGGGCCTTGCACATGTCGAGCATGGGGCACTGTACCTCTAGAGCCATGCCCCAGGCCTTGGCTTTTTGAGACAGGCTGGCCTGGAACTCATGTTACTCCTGCCTCAGCCTCCCGAGTGTTAGAATTTCAAGTTTGTATAGCACAGCGAGCCAGAGGCCAGCATTTTTTTTTTTAATGCACTAGAGTAGAAGAGGGTAGATACTGTCCAGTGAAATGTTTGTTCCAGTATTTTTACCTAGGTAAGTGTGCCCTGGGCCACATTGGTTAAATACATTTCTTATTTTAGGTCAAGTTTAAAAATGGGGAGGGAAAAAAAAGCTGGATGTGGTAGCACACACCTGTAATCTCAGCACTCAGGAGGCTGAGGCAGGAGAATCATGGTTCAAGGCCCGCCTAGGCAAAGTTAGTTTGAGACCCTACCTGAAAAACAAACTAAAAACAAAAGGACTGGGTGCCTAGCTCAGGTGCTAGAGCACCTGCCTAGCAAGTGTGAGACCCTGAGTTCAATCCCCAGCACTACCAAAAAAAAAAAAAAAATGTGGTAGATGCTGTAGGCAGGGGCAGCTCAGGTGGGGTCCACCCATCAGGGCTCCAAAGTTGGGGACTCAGATGGTAACTGCAGTTCAGTTCATGGCTTTCTGTGCGACTGTGGGAGGCAGTCCCTTGTTGCCTCCCTCAACTTCCTTGTCTGTGCCATGGGATTTGGAATGCCTCTCCCAGGGTGGGAGCTAGGAAGGGCAGAGCAAGCTGCATGCTGGTGGCTTACGCCTGTAATCCTAGCTACTCAGGAGGCAGTGCTCAGGAGGCTCACAGTTCGAAGCCAGCCCAGGCAAATAGTTTGTGAGACCCTATCTCAAAAAAACTCGTCACAAAAAAGGGCTGGTAGAGTGGCTCAAGATGTAGGCCTTGAGTTCAAATGCCAGTACCACAAAAAAAAAAAACAAAAAACAAAAAACAGCAGGTGTCGTGAGGCCCCAGGGCAGCCCCTCTCATTTTCCCTTCCTCTGGACTTGCAGGCCTCCAGGCCCAAGGTGAGCATCCCCCTGTCTGCCATCATCGAGGTCCGAACCACCATGCCCCTGGAGATGCCAGAGAAGGACAACACATTCGTGCTCAAGGTGAGGCCCCACCCTGGGCCCCAGATACTCAGGTTGCATGAGGTCACCTTGCTCTGGGTGGCAGAGCTCGAGGTCATTATGGGGGAATGAGCTCAGGCTACAACAGGGCAGCGACACCATGACAGGACTCTAGCCTGTAGCAAAAAGTATGGGTCTAGGATCTGAAGCCTGGTGCCCCACCAGACACTGCTCACCACCCTTGTTCCATTTTATCCTGGGCCTGGGGGAAGCTCATCAAAGTTTCACTTCCTCCCCTCCCATCCCTGGTAGAGCCAGAGCACACCCACCCCATGGCAGGAACTGGTGGCCAGCTTGTAGCAGTTATGCAAATGCAGCGGAGTGTGGGAACCAGCCTGGTCCCATAGAGGGCACAAAGGCACTGAGGGTGGGCAGGAGGCACCCCGGTGGGTCTGGGGACAGCCCATCCTTTTCCCAGGCCCACATCACAAGGGGTGACCTGCAGGGCTGCTGAGGACACAGCTCCTGGCTGCCAGGCTGTGGTCCCCTTGCCGCCTGGAAGGGGCAGAGTGTCTGGGAGGCTGAGTCCCCCGAGAGGCTGGTTCCACCCATGTGAAGCGGCTAGGAGCCCCCACCCTCTTCCTCAGGCTCTGCTTGGGTTTGTGTTTTCACCCGCATCTGTTTAGTCATGAACTTGCTTATTCACTGAGCCAACATGTGCCAACCCTGTGGCCTGAATCACCCCAGGCTGGGGCCTGAGGGCACAGCCCTGCCCATTTGCTGGGTGGTCCTTGAGCTGCTGGTTATGCTCAGAAGCCCTGAGGGAGAGGGACTCACTGCCAACCCTACCATGGCCTCAGTTTCCCTCTCTGTTCAAGGAGGGCTGAAAGGGGGTCTCTGAGGATCTTTGTACCCAACACTGCATTTTGACAGAGGCACAGGAAAGGAAACAGAACAAGAGGACCGCCCATCCCAGACTTATGTCCAGGTCCCAGCACTGCCAGTGTCTGCTGTGTGACATTGAGCAAGTTGCTTGGCCTCTCTGAAAGTCAATCTTCTCATCTATAGAATAGGGGCAATATGTCATTTCTCTCCCAGAGCTGCCGGGAAGAGCTTACCCACGAGGCACGGGTGGTATCTCCCACTCTCTCCCCCTTTGCGGAGGCTTATCCAGGGGCATGGCTACGGTGGCAGAATTCCAGACACTAAGGCTTGTGAGGCCCTCAATTCAGCATGCTGGAGCAGCTGACCTCCCCACCTGACTTGAAGCCCATCTGTGGGGTACCAGGGGCTCCCCACCCCTCCCCCAGCTACCATGGCCTCCTCTAAGGCTGTAGCTCCAGAGCCTGAGGACATCTGGTGGGGCTGGACCTCATCACCAGTGTGGGCTGCAGGCTGTCCCCCTAGGCCTTGGCCTGGGTTTGGTGATGGTGACCCTAGTGTCTTCCCTGCTGCTTACCCATAAGTCCTGGTAGGGAGGGTGGGGTAAGCCATATGAGCCATTCTGGCCATTTGTCCTGGGGTCCAGAGCCCCCTGCTAAGGGTGGAGGAGGTTGGAGCACTGACCACGGACTAGACTCCCGGCCACCCCCTCCCCAGGTGGAGAATGGAGCTGAGTACATCCTGGAGACCATCGACTCACTGCAGAAGCACTCATGGGTGGCCGACATCCAGGGCTGTGTGGACCCAGGGTGAGTGTCCAAGTGGCCCTAGGATGGGGACAGATGGAGGTGGGAGGTGCCCTTGGTCATGGACAGGGCAGGAGCCGAGCTCCTATCCAGGCTGTGCTGACCAGGATCACCCCACCCAACCACTGCTCCCACCCCAGAGAGCTCTGTGAGCAGGCTCTGCAGGGCCGGGGTTCTGGAAACAAGATGGATCACACCATGCTCATCCTGACCCCAGGGGAGCTTCAGACTGCTGGCAGCTAGGCTGTGATGAGTGATCCCCAAGCCCCCAGCTCAGGCAATGCTCCTGACAAAGGAGCCCACCTAACCTGAAGCCTAAATACAGTGTGGGCTTGAACCAGGTAAAGGGGAGGGGAAGGGCAAGAGCGGAAAGAACACCTTCAGCAATTGCCCAGTGTGGTGACACACATCTGTAATCCCAGTTACCTGGGAGACGGAGGTAGGAAGATCTTAGTATAATGCCAGCCATGCAGAAGTTCCTGACCCTGTCTGAAAAACAAACTGAAAGGACTGGGGATGTGGCTCAAGTGGAAGAGCACTTGCCTAGCAAGTATGAGGCCCTGAGTTCAATCCCCAAGACCACACACACACAAAAAAAAAAAAAAAACAGCTGAGCACATGTATAAGAGCCTGGGGGCTTGCAGGGGACATGAAGACATCCGGGGTAGCTGGTGAGGAGGGGATTTTGATGAGAGCTTAGGAACCTTTTGACGGAGGGGCAGTGGGGAGCCATGGCTGGTAATAAGCAGGTCAGCTGTGTACAGGAAGAGGCTGGCTCCACCATCCAGGAGAGATCCCCAGGCCAGGAGTAGGAGGGGCTGAGCATTTGGCAGCAGCTCTTCTGGCTAATGGGGTGAGCCAGCTCCGGGGTGGGTGGGCTGCTACTTTCTAATTAACAGCTCCATTTAAGGAAGCACAATTAAAGTCCCAGTCCCCATCCCCAAAGAGGTTACAATCCCTCTCGCCACCCCATCGACCATCTGCTCTGCAAACTCTTTCCTGGTCCCTGGGAAGCTGAATCTCACTTTGCAGAATTTTAGAGCTGGGAGGGGCCCAGATGCTCAAGTTGTCACAGATGGGGAGACAAAGTCCTTAGGGAGAGAAGGGGCTACCTGGCCCCAGCTACCTCCACACCTCCCCCTCATTTGAGGATCTCCATAGGATCCCAGGAAGGGGTTGGGCCCTCGGGGTTAGTGGGGAGGAGTCACATAGTCTCAGGGGACACTGCCTACTTGGTGGCCTCTCTAGTCACACAGTGACCACAGAACTAGCTGAGGGAGAGACAGAGGGACTCCAAACGGAGGGTAGAGCCTAATACTAGTTGTAGGACTGTCATCTACTGCCTGGTACTATAAGCAACCCAGGGTTCCAGCCCAGGTCCCATGGCAGGACACATCGTACCTTCTCAACCCCACAGTGACAGCGAGGAAGATGCTGAGCTGTCCTGTGCCCGGGGAGGCTGTCTGGCCAGCCGCGTGGCTTCCTGCAGCTGTGAGCTCCTGACAGACGGTAGGTGGGAGCAGAACTGGCCAGAGTGGTAGGGGACAGGGTGGAGGGATGGACACTGAGCGATCAGATAAAGGGTATGTTTCTCACCTACCACTTCCGCAGCAGCAGACCTGCCCCGGCCTCCAGAGACAACAGCAGCTGTGGGTGCCGTGGTGACAGCCCCACACAGCAGAGCCCGAGACGCTGTCGGAGAGCCCCCAGTCCACGTCCCACTCCAGACCTTCCTGCAGACGCTGGAGTCCCCTGGTGGCAGTGGCAGTGACAGCAATAATGCAGGTGCTGAATGGGCTCTTCCTGTCCATCCTCTCCAGGCCCCCACCCTGGCCACAGGGACTCTTGGGTGCCCTCCAGTGGCTGACTCTGGAGGAACATCTCATCCTACCTGATCCACAGTGTTTGCTCACTTTTGTTACCAGTCTTGGTTCTTTGCCTTTCCCATAGCACCTAGACACATAGCGCCTAGACACATGAAAAGTATCTAAAGTGGAAAGGCTGGAGGAGTGGCTCTAGTGGTAGCGCGCCTGCCTAGCAAGTGCAAAGCCCTGAGTTCAAACCCCAGTCCTAGTGTCCCAACACCCCCCAAAAAATAAAATGCTCATTAGCTGGGTGCTGGTGGCTCACGCCTGGAATCCCAGCTACTCAGGAGGCAGAGATCAGGAGGATCACACCTCAAAACCAGCCCAAGCAAACAGTTTGCAAGACCCTGTCTCAAAAAAAAGTCCATCACAAAAAAAGGACTGATGGAGTGGCTCAAGGTGTAGGTCCTGAGTTCAAACCCCAGTACTGCAAAGGAAAAAAAGCTCACAAGCTAGGCATGGTGTGCACACCAGTAAGCCCAGCACTCAGGAGACTGAGGCAGGAGCATCTTAAGTTCGTGGCTAGCCTCAGGTGCATAGGAAGACCTTGTATCAAAAATGAAAGAAGGAAGGAGAGAGGAAAGAAGAGAGGAAGGAAGGAATGCTCATAGCAGCGGCAAAAATTGTTGGAACCAGGGTGGAGACATGAGTCTTAATTTGTTCCCACATTTGTTGCTGACTTGGAGTGACCCAAGGATAGTCCTTTCCCTCTGTGCCTCAGTTTACCTCATATTAACTAATGAGAGGCCGGCTCTCTGCCTCATTCTAAAATTATTCATTTTACTTAAACCGACATGTTGACTTGTCTCATTTATTTGTCCTCTCTCTCCTTTCACCCCCGCCTGCGCCCAGGGGAGGAAGGAGCCGAGCCAGATCCCGAGGCTGAACCTGAGGTGGAGCTCTCAGACTACCCCTGGTTCCACGGCACACTATCACGGGTCAAGGCTGCTCAGCTGGTGCTGGCAGGTGGGCCCCGGAATCATGGCCTCTTCGTGATCCGCCAAAGTGAGACTCGGCCAGGGGAGTATGTGCTGACCTTCAACTTCCAGGGCAAGGCCAAGGCAAGTGTGCATGGAGAGCCGTGGGGAAGAATGTCCTGAGGTTCAAATGTGGCCCGTCCCTGGCCATGGGGAAGCCACCTGCTGGTGGCCAAGGCCAGGCCTTTTTGAGAAACTAAGTTGGAAAATATTTTGGCCCCTGGGCACTGGGGACCACATGGCACTGGGGCTTCTGAGGACCTCCACTCAGAGCCACCTGGATGTAAGACTGGGGTCAGCTAAGGCCCTCAGAGCCCCACCTCCCATCCCACCCACCCTAAGACACCTCCTCCTTTTCTCTCTTCTCTCATTTCAACAACCCCTCCCAGGCCCCATCTGTGGATGAAGCCTATGTTCAGCTAAGGGACGGGGGGAAGCACACACAGGTGGGCCCTAGAGAGCCAGGCTGGAGGGCAGCACAGGGTCTGAGTGGAGGCAGGGCAGGGGAAGAATTGTTGAGATAAAGATGAGGTAGAGATGGCCTGGCATGGATAGAGGTGTGCTTCCAAGGAAAGGCCATAATGACCTAAGGAACAAAGGAAAATCCAACAGACAAGACAAACAGTTTGGGGTGTGACCATGTGGCCAGCATGGGCAGGAATCCCAATGCCTTCCCCCCACCAATCCCATGTTTCCGATGAGGAAACAGACCCATCCTTGCCAGACATGATTCCCGGCAGCCCCCGCTGGAGGAAGGACACCCTAGGACTCCTGCCCCAGACCTGACGCTGAAGGTCAGCCTCTGTCTGCAAGCCCTCACTTCCGGCCAGCCCTCCAGTGGCCCTGGGCTGCTCTTGTCTCATAGTAGCACTGGCCAGGCCACAAGGAGGCAGCACCACCCCCGGGGACACCTCCTTGGAAGGCAGCTGCCGTTCTGACAACCAAGCACTTAACACTGTCCCTGACGGCAGGCCGTTTACTGCATGGCCAGCACTGCTTCCCTGGAAGGCCTGGGTCCAACTCCTACCCAAGCCAGGGGCTTAAACCGTGCCCAGCCCACCAAGAGCCATGAAGGGGAAGAAGCAGGGAGGGCAGGAGACAACCTTGAACTTAACTGCTGCTATCCCAGAGTGGAAGTGACTGCCATAGATCTGATATGTTAGGGGGAGAGAAGAGCAGGGATCTTAATACCCCTGGCGACAACTCTTTCTACCCTCAGATAATATGTGCCTGGAGGGTTTCTCAGAACCCCCAAAAGCACTTGCCAAGCAGGTGACCAGCCAAGGATCCCACTGCTGACCATTCCTGCCTTGTGTCCACAGCATCTGCGCCTGTCCCTCAACGGCCACGGTCAGTGCCACGTACAGCACCTGTGGTTCCAGTCCGTGCTTGACATGCTCCGGCACTTCCACACGCACCCCATCCCACTGGAGTCGGGGGGCTCCGCTGACATCACCCTTCGAAGCTATGTCCGGGCCCAGGGGCCGCCACCTGGTAAGATGCCCCTGCCTGACCCTTGCCATGGCTCAAGAAGAGCGGAAGGGCAGCATGGTTAGCAGGGTGGGCTGACACCAGGTGGCCTCAGGTACACCCCCTCTCCCAGCCTGGCTGCAGAACTGAGCCTGGGGGACCATCAAGAATGGAGATGTTGGCAGCCCCACAGCGTCTGGGTCCCACTGATCCTGGCAAGAAAGAGGAGGAGGGTCCCAGAGGCATCCCAGATGCGTTCCCTAGAGCCCTGCACATCTGGAGCTGAGCTAATGAGGGTCGCACTGGCAGGGTGCATGAGGGTGTCCAGCCCAGGCTGATCGTGGGCTGTGGGTGTGTGGTGCGCTCTGCCACCTGCACCCACCGTGCCATTAGTTATCCCAGGAGGTGGCCTGGACCCTGGCCACGCGAGGTCCCTCCTGGGGCCTTGACACGCGCGACTGGGGAGGGGGATGGCGCGGGTGCCCGAGGCTCGGCGCTGACCCGCACGGCGTCCCTTTGCAGACCCAGGGCCATCACCGAGCACCGCACCCGCGGCCCCCGCCTGCTGGGCCGAGCCGGCCGGCCAGCACTACTTCTCCAGCCTGGCCACGGCCACCTGCCCGCCCGCCTCGCCCTCCGAAGCCGCTGGCGCCTCGTCCTCGTCCGCCTCATCGTCCTCCACGGCGTCCGTGCCCGCGCCCCCGCGCGCAGCCGACGGCCCGCTGGGCGCGCGTAGCCGCAGCAACAGCGCCGAGCGCCTGCTGGAGGCCGCGGCCGGCGCCAACGACGAGTCCGCGGAGGCGGCACCAGGCCGTGCGCGCGCTGTTGAGAACCAGTACTCCTTCTACTAGCGCTGAGGGCACGGCCACGCCCCCCGGCGGCCCGGCCCTCCCACCCGGCTGGCCACGCCCACCAGTCGCGCAGCCCGCCCACTCATGGCGGGCCACGCCCCATCGACGGTAGACTGCGCCCATCAGTGGCGGGCCACGCCTGCCGGCTCCAGCCCCGCGCTGGTGGATAAGCTAAGCTCTTCAGTGAAGACATAAATGTTATTAAAGAGCCTGTTTTAGGGACTGCACCTGGCTGTCCTGTCCTTTCTTCTGCGCTGGCCTTGGCACCGCGGGAAGGAAAGTGGTTCCTTCTGTCCAGGTCTTGTCCCGGGAGTCACACACATGGCCCTACCCAGCCTACAGTGGCCTAGACCCTGGTGGGCTGTCTTACTTTAAACAGCTGAGATAAAGAGCAGAGGGCAAGGAATGAGGAGGGAGATTCAGTGAGAGAAAGGGTGTGGGGGACAAGAATGAGGGGTGGAGAGGCTAAAGAGGAGGGGACATCCAGGATTGCAGTGAAGGTGGGGAGAGTCCAAGACCTATAGGCCTCTGAATGCGAGGGTGAGGAACTGGACCCTGGCAACAATAGTAGGGGTGCCCATGGGCAAGTCAATCAGTGAAGACCCGGCAGGCTGAACAGGGTGCCCAACCCCTTGGGGGATTGGGCAATAGGACAGGCTAGATGTCCCATGCCCAACACAGACTCAAACTTAGAAGTGGCCAGCAGGGCACTCCCACCCAAATCCTGCCCACAAGGGGAGCCACAGCTGGAACTCTGTGTCCCAAGCCTGCTCACCAGAGAGCCCAAGCCCACCTTCCCTACCCCAGTCCAAACTGCACCCTGACCTGGGTGACCCTAAGTCACCCCTCCCTGGTAGGACCTGGGCCAGTGATACATATCACAGTCCCATACAGCTAAACTTCCAGGACTTCAGCTGAGACTTCCTAAGCTCATTCCCAAGGGGTACTAGCATTGTAGGGTGGCTTCCTGGGCTTTGCTCCAGCTACCAGGAAGAGATTGGGCATGCCACCACCATAAAAGGAGGAATATAAGTTCTGTGCAACCTCAGCTGCCCCATCTCCATTTGGTTATGGCTGGAACCCTTCTGCCCCATTCCTTGGTGATTTGAGGTCTATGCCAGGTTCAGTGCAAGCCCAATTTCACCCCAGCAGGAGCAGAGGGGTCTGGAGTGAGGCTTTGTCTGCTGCCTTCTGCCCGAGTCGGCTGGAGCCTCCATACATATTCCTTCCCTCTTGCTGAGCACACAGACTCCACTTCCAAGTCTGAGATGGCTGGGGTTGACTCGGTGTCTCCTGAATCCACACACCTATTTCAGGTACACAAGATTGTGGAAACAGAGGAGAAAGGAATCCATGTCAAACTGAGTTTTTCCAATATGGCAGACAGAGCTTCTCTCCCTTCAGGAGAACTGAAGCATCAGTCCCCTTGTCTGAGAAAACCAAGGCAGCCTGGGACCCAGATAGAGGAGGCTACACTTGTAGAGTTTATCTGAGCGAGACACACATGAGGACTTCCTCTCTCTCTCAGGTTACTGGAAGTGCCTCAAGGAGACCCTGAAGGAGAGAAAGTGCCAGAAGGGAGGAAGTCAACTGGAGACTTTAGCCAGGTTCAGAAAAAAACAGTGTCCCATCTACATAGGGACTACCTCACTTCCTTACTTCCTCTCTTCTCCCTTCTGGGGTCAAGGAGCAGTTGACAAGCTGGAAAGGATGAGGGAAACAGATGAGGGCAGAATGTACCCTCCTGGGCTCCTGACTCCAGCCTCAGACTGAGAAGGAAGAGAAGGTTTGGCCCTTGTAAGGAGAATGACTACTCCCTTGGTGTCCTGGCCACCATGATATGCTTTGTGTAGGCAAAGCTTGTCTCTGCAGACCTAAGGTCTGGCAGAGAGCCCCGTGGCTGTCCCCGAGGGCACAGGAAGTTGATGAGGGGCCTTCTCTCTTCCGGGAAGGCTGACCAGGAGCACTTTCTCGTTCCTTCCTGTTTGGTCTAATGAGCCTCGCTTCCTCGCTGGTCTTGGTGGCAGCTACAGGCTATCCAACTGCTCAGCTGAACCATGGGAATGGGTCAAGGAGTCACCTCATGTGCACTGTCACCTGTGTCCTTGTGTGGACAAGGGACCAAGAGAGCCCACACCTTTCTGGAGCTTGCTCCTGGCGTCTATGTAAATAAGAAATCCAAAAATAACTGCTCGTTTCTGTACCAGGCGAATCTGTTAGCTTTGCTGGACGCCTCTGAGTGAGTCTGAGGTTGAGCCATGACTGGGTCTGAATTGGGACTGTGTTTTGTGACTTAAGTGACCTGGGGACCCTTTAGGAGCAAGCAGAAAGACAATAGCACCTATCTATGCTTTTATCCTGTGATAGGGGAGAGCTGGCCCATTGATAAGGTTTTTTTGTTGTTTTGTTTTGTTCTTTTGCAGTACTGGGGATGGAACACAGGGCCCCACCCATGCTAAGCAAGTGCTCACCACTGAACCACACCCCCAGCCTTTCCTGTGTCCTTTTATTTTTAATTTTATTTACTTTAATTTTTTTTTCTTGGCAGCACTGGGGTTTGAACTCATGGCCTCATGCTTGCTAAGCAGACACTCTTAACTGCTTCAGCCACTCTGGTTGGTTTTTTTTCAAAACAGGGTCTTGAGAACTATTTGTCCAGGCTGGCTTTGAACCTGATTCTCCTGATCTCTGCCTCCAGTGTAGCTAAAATTACAGGCGTGAGCCACCAGCGCTCAGCTCTGTGTCCTTTTAGAGAAAGACCTCCAGCAGAGCGTCAGTGGCTCATGCCTATAATCCCAGCTACTCAGAAGGCAGAATCAGGAGGATGGTGGTTTGAGGCCAGCCCAGGCAAATAGTTCACAAGACTCTATCTTGAAAAAAACCAATCACAAAAAGGGGCTAGCAGAGTGGCTCAAGTGGTACAGTGCCTGCTTAGCAAGTGTGAGCCCTGAGTTCAAACCCCAGTACTGATAAAAAAAAGAAAACAAGACCTTCATAGTGTTTAGTTCTGTCTCTGGTTTCTGGAATGATTTGATTTTCTAGGCTCAGCCATTCCATTTCTTACCAGAAACCCAGGAACAGCCACTTCTCCCGGGGTCCCTCATTCCTTTTAGTGGCAAATGATATTTAGGGACCATGGTCAGGAGCCAGAAATGTCCTTGCTGCTGGGTTGTCATTATAGATTCTGACGCTGTACACAGGCTGGGACTAAACACTCCTGTGGAACCCCGACAACTTCCCTGACTCCCCCACAGAGCTCTTGTCAGTAGATTAGGGTTTGGGTTGGGGACACAGTAGCAGCCTGAGCAACACTGACGTGAGAGGTTTTTCTTGGTCACCTCGGAGGCTCCTTCAGTGAGAACCCAAGAGTCCCAGTTTGAATCTGAGTTCCCTTCCCTGGGCAAGCCACAAGAAAGAAAACAGCATAAACCAACTCCTAAAAGCGATGCCAAAATGAAACAAGCATCCTATCTGTACGCCAAGTTGGTGACACAATTAGATATGGTAGTTTGATAGCATATTCCTAGCGCCATCTAGCCTACGGATGAAAGGGCCATGGAGAGATTCCTGCACTGTTAGGAGGAATCCAAGTCCAGAAACGTATTCTACCACCAAGCTATACCCCCCAGCCCCAAAGGCATCTTACACGAAATTCAGTAACTATGTACTATTGGTGTGACTGTTTTCTAATTCATTTTATATACAGTATGGAAGGCAAATAAGTTCATGTGGTCAAGAACCATGATGAAGGAAAAGAGATAGAAATATTAAATCAAAGAAGTTAAATTAAAACTGTATGATTTTTAGCAGGCACTGTGGCTCACGCCTGTAATCCCAGATACTCAGGAGGCAGAGATCAGGAGGAGCGAGGTCAAAAGCTAGTTTGGACAAATAGTTGTCAAGACCCTACCTTGAAAAACCTCAACACCAAATAGAGCTGGCAGACTGGCTCAAGGTGTAGAGCACCTGCCTAGCAAGCGTGATAGACCTGAGTTCAAACCCCAGTACCACTGGGAAAAAAAAAAAACCAGAGAGCAAGATATGACTTGTAAGGGGTGTAGGCTTCCCAATAAAGTTCTTGCAAGATCACTGTTACCCAGAGCCCCAGTAGGGCAGAGGGTGTTTGCCCTGCCCCATCCTGCCTGGTGGCACCTGAACTTCTGTTTTCGACAAAGTTCAGCCCTGTCCCTTGGGAGAGACCTTCATGAAATTGAATGAAGCCCAAGGAGAGACCCAAGAGGTGAGGGTGGGTTCCTTGGGGCCCCTGAGTGACAGAGAAGGAACAGGTGGGACCTTTCTACAGAGAGGAAGCTGGGCCCAGTGCATGCAGAATGCTAAGCAAAGGAGTGGGGCTGCCAAGGGAAAGTAGAGGTTAAAAAATAGTGTCTACAGCTGGGTGCTATAATACTAGCTACTTGGGAGGATAAAATTGGGAGGCTCACAGTTTGAGGCCAGCCTAGGCAAATAGTTTGTGAGACCCTATCTCTAAAATAACCAGGGCAAAATGGACTGGAGTTGTGACTCAAGTGGTAGAGCACCTGCTTTGCAAGTGTGAAACCCTGAGTTCAAACCCCAGTCCCACCAAAAAAGAAAGAAAAAAAAGTGGTGACACCAGGCACGGTGTTGCATGTCTGTAATCTCAGCTCTTCAGGAGGTAGAGGTAGGAAAATCATGGCCAAGGCTGGCCCAGGCAAAAGCACAAGACTTTATCTGAAAAACAAACAGGGAAACTGACTAGGCCACACATGGCAGTTCAAACCTGTAATCCTAGCTACTCAGTAGGCAGAGATTGAGAGGATCCCAGTTCAAGACTAGTCTGAGCAAAAAGTTTGTGTGACCCCATCTCAACCAATGACTGGGCATGGAGGTTCATGTCCATCATCCCAGCTATTCGGAGAAGCACAAATAGGAGATTGCAATCCAGGCCCACCCAGGCATAAAGCAATATACTATCTCAAAAATAACCAAAGCAGAAAGGACTGGGGGCATAGCTCACGTGGGAGAGGGCCTGCCTAGCAAGCAAAAGGTTCTGAGTTCAGATTACAGTACTGCAAAAAAAAAAAATAGGAAAGCAGTGACTTCTTTACCAAAGTGGCTAAATTCCATCTTTGTTTCTGTTTCTGTTTATTTATTTATTTGTCCCAGGGCCTGTGCACGCTAAGCACACCTCCACCACTGACCTGCACCCCCACTCCCTGGTCTTTGTTTTTGTACTGACTGATGGTACTGTTGTTTTCTTGTTCACTGTGGGACCATTGTGGAAATACCACTGACAAATTCAGCAAGAAACTCAGAATATTTGTAAAAAAAAAAATTGTGCTGTTTTAGCATTTTCTTTCGGGACAGGGTCTGGCTGTGTAGCCCAGGCTGGCCTTTGACTTCTGATTCTCCGGTCTCAGCCCTTCCAAGTGCTGGGATTACAGGCGGTGCCACCACAGCTGGTTATTTTAGCACTTTTAGTCCTGTCCATGACTGACTGAGGCAGGAGTGTCCTCTCTGCTGATGCCCTCCTGCTTTTACATTAAATGTTCCGCATCTTGGGAAACTCCTGAGTCCTGGCACTTTTTTGTTGTTTTTTGGTGGCACTGGGGTTTGAACTCAGGGCCTTAAGCTTGCTAGGCAGGCTCTCTTACCACCTGGGCCACTCTGCCAACTCTAGTCCTGGGACTAAACTGAGACTAAACCAAGAGGTGGCAGGCATTGTGCCTACAGACATCACTTCACCCACAGGTCATTAAGGTAAGCCAGCTTGCTTATCTTGTGTAAAAGGAAATTTTTTTTCTTTTTTTTTCTTTTTTGGTGCTGGGGTTTGAAATCAGGGTCTACATCTTGAACCACTCCACCAGCCCTCTTTTGTGATGGGTTTTTTTGAGACAGGGTCTCAAGAACTATTTGCCTGGGGCTGGTTTCGAACCTTGATCCTCCTGATCTCTGCCTCCAGAGTAGCTGGGATTACAGGTGTGAACCACTGGCCCTCCCAAAAGGAAATATTATGGAAGTTAAGCTGCTGCCCAAATCCAGGGTAAGCACTGGTGTCTCTGGGGGAGGGGACATTGACCTTGCTTCCTAAGTGCCCAGTTCTGGGTCCCCCAACAGGTGCATTAAGGTGCCCAGTGGCTGGACTTCAGGGTGGGTCTTTGCTGCCCCCTGGTGGCAGGTGGAAGGCACTCAGGGTGGGAGCCCTGTGGGGCATCAGTGGTTGAGGGGGAGGTTGCCTCAGCCCTGGGAGGGTACCAGGGCGCACAGTCCCACCAGGGTCTTGTCCCATCACCTACAAGTCAGATAATCACCCAGTCCTCCAGAGATGCAGGGAAGACCCTGAGCCAACCACTTCTCCCCTCAGTTCCTTCCCTGTACCAACCCGGGTGCTAAAAAGTCTACAGCTTATCCTTTACCCTTAGGTCCTTCACGCCCATGTCCTTAACTCTGCGCCTTGGGGCGTCCACTTACATCTGTTCACATAACTTACACACACACATCTTTCTGCAAAGTACCTTCTCTGTGCCTGACCCTGAAATTGGGGTGCCAGGGAGACAGATGCAAACCAGGAACCCTCCTGGCTCTGTAACTCTGTTAAGTCTCTGTTAACCCAAAATCTCATGTTTTAAATCATTCATTGAATACCTTTTTTTTTTTTTTGAGATAGGAGCTTGCTTTTTAGCCCAGGCTGGACTTGAATTTGTGATTCTCCTGCCTCGCTCTCCTGAGTGCTGGGATTACAGGCATGAAGCACCACACCTGGCATCCATTATCTACTGAGTGCTCATTTATCTTTCCCTCATTCATTTAACTTCCTTATTCATTCATTCATCTATCAGTTGGTCATCTTATTGACACGTTGTTGAGTGTGTTCTTAGTTATTTTCTCATTCCTCTGTTTCCCAAGCATTCTGGAAGTACCTGCTGTATGCTAACCCAGGGTTAGATGCTAGGATTCCTTGTGCACAGGCCTAGGGGAAAGAGAGATGGTGGGGACACACTGTGGTAACTACCATTCTAGCCTTTGGGCACCAGAGAAGAGGAAGAACCAAAAAGAGAACCACCAACTGCCTGAAGGTGGGAGTGGGAGCAGTCAGGGAAGGCTTCCTGGAGGAGGTATCATTTAAGCTAAGTTAAGAAGGCTATGTGAGTTTTCTAGATCAGAAAACTCCCGGTAAAATCTTTGTTTGGTGAAATATTTGGAGAAAAGTGAAGTAGTGGACTAGAGGCATGACTCAAGTGGTAGAGTGTTTGCCTAGCATGCACAAAGTCCTGGGTTCAATCCCCAGTACTGAAAAAAAAAAAGGCAAAGTACCAGATTGCTAGGGTGTGTGATGGAGGTCAGTGTGTTCCAATGACAGACCCGAGCCACTCAAGAACTTCCACAAATTCCCCTCACCCTTGAAAAGCCATTCTCTACTAAGCAGCCAGGAGTGACCTTCAGACGCACACCGCATCCTCCCCTCGTCTACTTATCCATCCACCTGGGAACACAGAGGGAGAGCTGTCCTAGGCTGAGCAGGTGGCAGCAGAATTGAGGTGCCGGACCCCAAGATCCATGCTGACCTAGCGACTGAGTAGTGAGGGCTCTGCTGTGGGTTGGGCTTTGTCCTGTACACTGGGGGAAAGAGAGATGGTGGGGACACACTGTGGTAACTCCCATGCTAGCCTTGGGTCTCAGAGAAGAGGAAGCACCAACAAGAGAACCACCTACTGCCTGAAGGTGAGGGTGGGGCAATCAGAGAAGGCTTCCTGGACCAAGCATCTACTCTCTAGGGGATGACAAGTGACAAACCAGAAAACCAACTGCCTTGAAAACCAAGAACACACTTGCAGTTGAGCAAAGTGGGCTTATGACTGGTTGAACAAAGGAAGAATCCATTTATTTCATAAGAGGGCATTGAAAAGGTTTTATTATTGCTGGGTATGGTAGTGCATGCCTATAATCCCAGCTACTCAGGAGGCAGAGGTAGGAGGCTCTTGGTCCAAGACTAGCCTGGGCAATAGTGTGAGACCTATCTGAAAAAAAAAACTGAGTTAAAGGACTGAGGGGGTGGCTCAAGTGATAGAGAACATGCCAGATTGAGGCCCTGAGTTCAAATCTCAGTTCTGCAAAAAGAAAAAAAGGGGATTTATTACTGAATTTGGGCTTGCGCAAAGTGAAAAGTGATTTGAGGGAGGATTCAAGTAAGCAGATATACCTCTGGATTAGTGCTGTCAGGAAGGGAGAACAATTCCATGATTAGCTCTCTTATTATTCCTATTGGGTATTCCCAGAGAAACAGAACTAATAGGATGTGTTCATAAGGAACTGGTTCAAGAGGTTAGGCACGAACAAATCCTAAGATCTTAGGGTGAGTCTGGAAGCCAGAGAGACACAAGAAAGAACAGTGTGCTGCCGGTCCCAGTCCAAATCAGACCAGAAGAGCCAGTGTTTTATCCTAGTCTTTAAACACTAGGGAAAAAAATCCTACCTTCCATTTCAGAAACCATCAGGCCGAAAGAATTCTTTCCAAACTTGGAGAAAGGTACCTTTTTTTGGTTCTATTTAGGCCTTCTACTGATTGGATGAGGGCCACCAACCTTAGAAAGAAAAGCTACCAACTTAAATGCTAATTTCATCCAGAAACTCCATCTCATTTCACCACACCATGGACCAATCAAGTCAGATACGAAACTGACCACCACAATAGTTATTCATCTTCTGGCAGTACTAGGGTTTGAACTCAGACCTTGTGCTTGCTATGCAAGCATAATACCACTGACCCACATCCCCAACCTATAGATCACTCCAGTGCCTTTATCTAACTGGTCACAGAATGGCCTTGTGGGTGTCCTGTGAATTTATTTCCTTTCAACAGAACAGGAAGCCCTTACCTGTGAATGCCTGCCCAGTTCACAAACTGGGGAGCACATTTTCCCTTTCTCATAAGAAAGTCTCATCCAAGCCACCCAGTGGCTCACGCCTGTAATCCTGGCTACTTGGGAGGCTGAGATCGGGAGGCTTGGGGTTGGAGGCCCCATCTCCAAAATAACCAGAGCAAATCGGGCTGGAGGTGTGGCTCAAGCGGTGGAGCACCTGCTTCGTAAAGCATGAATCCGAGTTCAAACCCAAGTCCCACCAAAAAAAAGAAAAAATTTTAAAAGTCTCATCCGTCCACTTGGCAGAGGTCTGTTTTCTGGGGGCCAGGTACAGAGTAATTCCAGAGTGACAAAGGCGATCTGGCCCCAGTCTTCAAGAAGCCCGGTGACAAGTTTGCGCTATCCTATATAAACAGGAGATTGTCACAAATGCACGCGGGGAGGAGGAACCAGAACCAAATAGCCGGGAGGGGAGCGGGGCTGAGCGCCTCCATCACAACTACCCGACCCCTTGCACGAGGTCGGCTGGGGCCAAGCCACTAGGGCACGAAGACGCTACCTCCCTCCGCCATGTCCTCAGGGACATGACCATCAAGCTGTACTGATTTGTTCAGAAACAGGAAATGAAAGTGAACCGCTTTGAGCAAAACAAACCACCCAGGGTCCCTCGGGCTTCCCGCTCGTGACTCCGCCCCAGGCCCGCCCGTGTGCGCAAGTGCGCATGCGTCATCGGCGCGCAGCTCTGTCGTCACACGTGCGCGCCACGGCAGCCGCCGCTCGCGAGGGCAGCTGGGAGGCCGCCATGGCAAGCTCCGCGGCGTCTTCAGTGCGACCGCCGAGGCCCAAGAAAGAGCCGCAGGCGCTCGTCATCCCCAAGAATGCTGCGGAGGAGCAGAAGCTCAAGCTTGAGCGACTCATGAAGAACCCGGTGAGACGAAGAGTGGGCTCCGCGGCCTGTTGCAGGCCCTACCGCTTCCGCTCCCGCGCCTCTGGGGTCGACGGGGCACCTTCCCCAGCCACCAGACTGAGGAACTCTTGGTACCCTACCCTCAGAACAGTCCTTGGGAAGGAGGGGTTGTCCCAGAGATAGTGAGCTTCCGGTCGGTCCTCCTGCCTCCGCCTCCCGACGGCTGGGATTATAGACGTGCATGTCGCGCCCGGCTCAGTGACCCTTTCCAATTTAGTTTTCTGTGAACAGAAGTGTTAGACTGAAGACAGAATCTGTGGGTTAGCAAAAGGGGTTCTCTCTTCTAAACAGCACCCGTTGTTAGAGAGACATTGATCGAATCACTTCTCGCCTCGCTCCTACCCTAACCGAGTCTCAGTCACGTAGATCATAAAAACCACTAGCTGAGAAGAGCTCATACTTTCGACCAGAAAAGCTTGGCTTTCCTCCTCTGGTAGTGTTAAATAAAGTTGGAGGTTTCTAACCATAAATAGTGTCTTAGATTTCAGAGTTCTGCTCTGGAAAGTGTAACCCTAAGGAAGGCTGCGGGCTGTGTTAAACCTCAGAGTATACAGGATGAAGTAAATCCAAGACAGAGAAGAATTTTTTTTTTTATTATTGGGGTTTGAACTCAGGGCTTTGATCTTGCTACACAGACGCTCTACCTTCTGAGCCACTCCACCAGTCCTTTTTTTTTTTTGGATTGGGTATTGTCAAGTTAGGATCTCCAGAACTGTTTGCCCAGACTGGCTTCCAACCGTGATCCTCCTGAGTAGCTAGGATTACAGGCGTGAGCCACCAGCACCCACCTTGTCAGCAGATTTATACTTACAAATGCTTTCCTCTTTAACTACTGCAGGACAAAGCCGTTCCAATTCCAGAAAAAATGAGTGAATGGGCCCCCCGGCCTCCACCAGAGTTTGTCCGAGATGTAATGGGTAATGTCTTTTGTCTGTGTGTGTAAATAAAGTTTGGAAGTAGATATAAAAGCATGCAGTTGGTATTTGTTAATTAGGACTTTGATAGGAAAAGAGGTGTTCACTGGACCATTACATTGTTCTCACAACAAAGGGATGTGGTTGCTTATGGTTTGACCCTAGAGAACTTTCTTCTGTGTTATTTTTAGTAAATGCATTGTTTTCTTTTCTTTTTTACTTTTTATTTCTTTTTAGTGCTGAGGCTGGGACCCAGAGCTTTCAGCATGCTAGGCAAGCACTCTGCCACTGGGCTACATCCACAGCCCTTGTTTTATTTTCTAAATGGAAATATTTTTATTATATTCTTGGATTCTAGATTTAAATGAACATTACATCAATTGTAAATAGAAACAAATAAAGATATAAAAAAGTTAGAGCTTCTGGGTGCCAGTGTCCATGTCCGTACTTCCACCTACTCAAGAGGCAGAGATCAGGAGGATCGTGGTTCAGAGCCAGCCTAGGCAAATGATTCAGGAGATCCTATGTGGAGAAAAAACACACATCACAAAAAAAGGGCTGGTGGAGTGGCTGAAGTGCAAAGAGCACCTGCGTAGCAAGCATGAGGCCCTGAGTTCAAAATCCAGTGCTGCCCAAAAAAAAAAAAAAAACGAACTGCCTGTAATTGCCTGTAATTTCTTCTTACCAGTTGGAACATTTTGGTATAGCCTTTCAAACCTCTTTATAGCCAAAACTACTTGTTTAAGAAATAGTGTATTTATAAAAATGTAGCTGCTATATATAGCCTGTCAAATGTGAACTCACTTGGGTTTGGGTTGGGGGTCATGGCTGTCTTCCAGATTTCTGGTTGTTGAACCACAATCTGTTTCTCTCTCTCTCTCTTTTTTTTTTTTTTTCTCTTCCTGCCTTTTTTGATGCTGGGGATTAAATCCAGGGCTTCTTTAGTTTTTCTGTTTTTGTTTTTGTTTTTCTTTTGGCAGCACTAGGGTTGAACTCAGGGCCTCACACATGCCAGGCAAGCACTCTTACCTTTTGAGTCACTTCGCTAGCCCCTATTGTATTGGGTGTTTTTGAGGTAGGGTCTTGTAAAGTACTTATCTGGGGCTGGCCTGGAACCGTGTTCATCCTGATCTCTGTCTCCTGAGTAGCTAGGATTGCAGGTGTGGGCCCCGGTGCCCAGCTGTTTGTCCTCTTAATGCTGTGTTAGAGTGGAAGTTTGTATTTGTTTTGAGACAGATTCTCATTATGTAGCCCAGGCTGGACTTGAACTGATGGTCCTCCTGCTTAACCTTCCGAATGTTAGGATTGCAGATGTGGGCCACTATACCTGGCTTAGAGAATTTTTAGTGACTTTATAATCAACATTCATGTAACAAGTAACTTAATGATGCCTACAGTATACCTTGCTCTGAGGCACAAGTGGGAAAAAGGCAGGCCTGGTCCCTTCCATTCTTCTAGTTTGGTCTGCAGTCTCTGATTCAATTGTAGTCTGTAACTGGATCTCATGTGGGACTCTATAGGTTCAAGTGCGGGGGCTGGCAGTGGAGAGTTCCATGTGTACAGGCATCTGCGCCGCAGAGAGTACCAGCGACAGGACTACATGGACGCTGTGGCTGAGAAGGTCAGTGTGGGGGATGAGGGGGTCTATGTTTGGGCAGTGCACATTGACAGCCTTAGAAAAGCATTTGAAGAAGAGTCCGTACAGCTGCTGGTGCTTTGCCTGAGGTCCGCCTTCTACAGTGGCACAGAGAGCAGAGGTCGGGTGAGTTGTAGGTGAGACTCAGCACAGAGAGGTGCTCACACTAGGAGAGCAAGGCATGGGAGTCATGCATTTGTGTGTACAGGAACACACCTGGGAGCTGTCACCTTCTCTCTTGTTCTCTCTTTTTGTTGAATGCCTAAATGCAGTGTGCTGTATGTTTGGTAAGAAGAGTGGTCTGCTTTCAGTGTGCTGCTCCTGTCAGGACTTAAGATTTCTAGCTTTGGGGCAGGCATTTCTTCATGATAGGTTTTGATTATGTTAAGAGCTTGAGAATTGCCTAAGAAATTGTACTTAAAGAACCAATAAAAGCCAGGCACCTGTGGCTCATACCTGTAATCCTAGCTACTTGGGAGGCTGAGATCAGGAGGATCAGCCTGAGCAAATAGTTCTTGAGACCCCCATCTCCAGAATAACCAGAGCAAAAATGGGCTGGAGGTGTGACTCAAGTGGTAGAATGCCTGCTTTGCAATTACAGACCCCTGAGTTCAAACACCAGTCACCCCCTCCCCCCAAAAAAAAAAAAAAAAGGAACAAACCATTGAAAAGGGGTTGGCTTGCTGGCACATGCCTATAATCTGAGCTACTCAGAAAGTAGAGATCAGGAGGATGGTGCAGCCTGAGCAAATAGTTAGGGAGACTTTCCCCCCACTTCAACAAATAAGCTGAGCAGGATGAGGCAATCCCGTAATACCAGCTGCAAGGGAGGCATGGGTACGAAGATTGAGGTCTAAGGCCAGCCTAAGCAAAAAGCACACAAGCCTACTTGAGCATGGCTCAAGTGGTAGAGCCCTTGCCTAGGAAGCTCAGGCCCTGAGCTCAAACCCCAGCACCGCCAGAAAGACAATGAGACTCTAGAGAGTTTCTTGCCATATAAGGAAATAAAATGCTTTTCAAAATTAACATTTGCACTAAGGATGGAGCTCAGTGGTAGGACATTTGCCCAGCACACACAAGTGCCCGGATTCAACCCCCAGCAGGCATGGTGGTGCCCGCCTCTTGTCAGCAACCGGGGAGACAGAGGCAGGATTGCAAATTCAAGGGCAGCCTGGACTTCATAGTAAGACCCTAGCTCAAAAAAAATACCAAAAAGTTATTCCTAAAATAGCACACTACTTAGCAGTAAAGAAGAATCAACTTCTGAAATGCAGCAAGTTGGGTGATTTTTTTGAAATATGCTGACTGAAAGAAATCTTGCACAAAAGAGATCATTTTGTATGATTTCTTTTATATGAAGGGCTAGAACAAGAAAAACTATAATTGGTGAGAAAAAAATCAGAACAGTGGTTTTCTTGGGATAGAACTGGGGGTGACTGAAAGGAAGTGTGTGGGAACTCCCTGGAGTTGTCAAACTGTACACTTGAGATCTGGGCATTATATTTTATGTACTTATTGCCTTAAAAAGAAAAAGGGTGGGTGCCGTGGCTCATGCCTGTAATCCCAGTTGTTTGGGAGGCAGAGATCAGGAGGATTGCCATTCAAGGCCAGCCTAGGCAGAAAGTTGGGGAGCCCCTCCTCCCCATCTTGACAAACTGGGTTTGGTGGTACATGTCTGTAATCCCAGCTACTTGGCCTTAGGTAGGAGGATCACTGTCTGAGGCCAACCCTAGTCAAAAATGTGATATCCTATCTGAAGAATAACTAGAGCAGCTGCTTAGCAGCTGGAAAGCCTAAGTTCAAGCTACCGTACCACCAAAAAGAAAAGAAAAGTAAAGAAGTATGAACAACCGTTAAATACTTCGCTTACTACGCTTTAATGTGTAGGAGGGGACACGGGTTGACGATGAGTAGAGACGTAAGTACATAGGTTGTGCTGATGGTAGAACAGTAATTGTATTTTTATCTTTTTTGTGTTTCAGAATTTCCAAATAAAACAGTAGAGAAAGTAACTTGATTCAGAAAATGGCATTTAAGAATTTATTAGAATGGCTAATATGGAAGTAGAAAAGAATCCTTGTACTTTGGGAGGAGAAGGGATCATTGTCCTGGTGGTCTTCACCCAGTCTTTGCTTGTCCTGAGCCTTTCTGGGCCCCAGATGTGGGTTGTCCTCCAGCTGCTACCATCTTCTTGTGGTGACATTCTCAGTTCTCATGGGAGGTCTCAGGTGCTGTCCTACACCTGCACCAGCTCACTGCAACAGGTTTGCTGCCGTAGAAATAGTGGTCTGTGTAAAAAAGCTGGCAGAAGCGTTTAGATTTTTAGACTATAGGGAAGAGGGGATAGAGCAGGTTAGTTCTCAAGCACCATAAAATAGTCTGAAGTTTTTACTTACTTATTTTTTGGTGGTTGCTGGGGTTTGAACTCAGGACCTCATGCTTGCTAAGCAGATGCTCTACAACAACTTGAGCCACTCCTCCAGCCCTGCTTTGTGCTGGGTATTTTCTTTTCTTTTTCTTTTTTTTTTTTTTGTTGTCCTGGGGTTTGAACTCAGCCTACACCTCAAGCCATTCCACCAGCCCTTTTTGGTGAAGATTTTTTCAAGATAAGGTTTCACAAACTATTTGGGCTGGCTTCGAACCTCTGTCCTCCTGATCTCTGCCTCCTGCATAGCTAGGATTGTAGGCGTGAGCCACTGCTTGGCAGTCTGGAATTTTTACATGTGGATTCAGAGGAAAATGTTTCACAGGCCCTGGCACCCATAAACATGCAAAGGATTTTATTGCAGATAACAAAGGAGAGGCTCTGAGGCCTTAAAAAAGAAAGACACCTGCCTGAGAACTTGCCTCAGCCCCTGCAGCAGGCCCTGGGGTTCTCACTTCCTGTAAACTCTGCTGCCTTCGCACCACAGGGTCACACTTCTGCACTTCGACACAAACCAGGTGCTTTTAGACTTGACTTGGCTGTGTTTACTTTCCAGTTGTCTTCCTTAAAGCTGATACCCTTTGTTTTAGGTGGGGTTTTTCTGTTTTTTGGTTTTTGTTTTGAGACAGCCCAGTTTGTCCTCAACTCATGATCCTCCTGCCTTTACTTTTTGAGAGCTGGGATTACGGGTGTGCACTGCCATACCCATCTTTATAGTGCTGCCTTAGAATCAGTCATTTGGAAACTGTAGCTAGGTTAGGACTGAAATCCCACTGTCCTGCCTCTTTCCATTCCACCTGAAGAGCCACGGTCCTGACCCAGGCGCTGGCTAAGTAGATGTGCTGCCCCTGCCGTCAGCGAGTCCTTTGCTCTCGTATTTTCTTTTTATGCTTTGTGGCTTGTGAGTGGTATCACAGTGAACTTAGTGATGTCAGCATCAGAGAGCCGTGGATTTATTCGCCGCCATGCATGTGGGCAACCTGGTGCAGTTGAAGTGGCCCTGGGACCTGGATGGTGTCTGTAGCACTGCCAGTGGTGTGACTTCTCGAGCTCTCCTTCTACAGCCTACCAAGTTCTGAGTATGTCTAAAAGTTGTGTTTTTTTGCAGCAAAGGTTGGATGCTGAGTTTCAGAAGAGGCTGGAAAGGAATAAAATCACTGCAGAGGAGCAGACTGCAAAGCGCCGAAAAAAGCGGTAAGAGTGTCATTGGTCCCGGAGCTGCAATGAGGCCTGAGGGCAGGATGTGAGCCATATCCTTTAGTCACAACTCACCTGAAAGCCAGGTATGAGGTTCACACCTGTAATCCCAGTTACTCAGGAGGTGGAAATCGGGAGGATCTGGTTTTAGGTCAGCCTGGCCAAAAGTTCCAAAGACCCCATCAGTCAATAAAAAGCTGAGCTTGGTGTCGCACACCTGTCATCCCAGCTATGCAAGAAGTATAAATAAGAGGATCATGGTTCAGGCTGGCCCCAGCATAAAGCGAGACCCTATTTCAAAAAGTAACCAGAGAAAAAAATACTAGGAGAACAGCCCAGGTGGTAGCTGAGCATGGTGATATGCACCTGTGGTCCCAGCTACTTGGGACACTGAGGCAGGAGCATCCCTTGAGCCAGGAGTTCAAAACAGCCTGAGCAAGATAGTGTGATCCTGCCTCAAAAAAAAAAAAAAAAAAGGAAGGAAGGTGGAGGGGAGGGGTTCATCTGTGTGACTTGCAGAGCTGGTGTGTGTGAAAGCCCTAGGGTGAAGCAGCCCTGTAGACAAATGACTTTGCTTCCAGTACATGGGAGGGAACAAGTCCCTAGGTGTCCCCTAGCTCCTGACAAATTCCCCGAAGACTAGTGACCACGGGGATCTGCATCTCCTTTGTTTTTGCATTTGTGTGTGTGTGTGTGTGTGTGTGTGTGTGTGTGTGTGTGTGTGTGCGCGCGTGCCATCTGTGGTTTTTTTTTTTCTCTAAAACGTACAGTAAAATAATTAAGGAATTAATGTGTATGTTTTACATTTTACATTTATAGCCAGAAGTTAAAGGAGAAGAAGTTACTGGCAAAGAGGATGAAACTCAACCAGAAGAAACAACAAGAAGGTGAGTGCTGCCCACATTTCTTGGTTGGAGCCTCTCTCTGTTACTCTCAGTGGCTTAGCTGCAGGAAGTGCTGAGGTATAGAGCTGGGGCTGGGTGGCTGGCCATGAGGAAGTGACAGTTTGCCAGGTTTGTGACGACTCAGCTCTTCGCAAGTATCCAAAAGCCAAAGTGGCTTCAGCTATAAAGAAACTCACTGAGCCCTAAGAGGCCTTTGTGAATTCTGGCCAGCTGCTGAGGGAGTGCAGAGGTGTAACCCAGTACTCATGCTGTCCCCCTTCTTCCCTGGCTTCCTGGTCTCACATAGGCCTTGTGCTTTTGAGGCGCCTTCCTGGCCAGGAGGAGAAGTTGGGGGTCCGTCAGAATGTCATAGCAGAAGTCTTCCTGTGTCTTTTCGGTTCTCACTGAGTAGTTACCAAGTCAGTCAGGGAGGTTTTGTCCTCAAGAACAAGAAGATTCAGTTCAAACCCCAGACCCACCAAAAAAAAGATTCAGCTAACAGTGTTTGAACAAAAAGGAGTTAGTTTGTTCTGTGTGATGAGAACTCCTGTGGTTGGTGGCAGCCACAGCTCCTGCCATCATACCTATGTTCAAAGCAGGAAGAATTGGTGCATGCCTGTAATCCTAGCACCTGGGAGGCTGAGCAGGTGGACGGAGAGATTGCATAATGAAACCCTGTCTCAAAACAAAGCAAACAAAACACCATGAAGAGGGGAGAGGTGCTGTTTGCCTGGTCTGGTTTTTTCTTTTTTTTTTTTTCAAACTGAAGAGTAAGAACTTCCCCAGATATACCCAACAGATGTCACCTTATGTATTAGGTCTTTTTGCCATCCTTAGCTTTCACCACGTTAGAAGAGTAGAAAGTAGAATTGTCATAGCTGACCTAAACTATTATGACTCCTCCCTGGGAGCTGGGCACATTGCCACCCTAGACTGCGTGAGATTCTGGTTAAGGAGGAGCCGGTAGATTTGGGACCATCATCCCATGGTGCTACCAGTCCTGCCTACCTCCAAGCCCATCAAAAGGCTGGGGTGCCACCCTGGGAGCTCAGAGGCTGAGAATCAGAGGGGCCCCTGCTGGAAAGGGTAGGGTCTTTCTAAAATGACAGCTGTCTGACACATCACTGAATGGGTGGCTGTTCCATGGGTGGGTGGCTGTAGGGTTTTTGGGTTTTTTTAATGTTTGTTTATTTATGTATTTATTTATTGTGGTACTGGGCTTGAGCTCAGGGCCTACACCTTGAGCCACCTCATCAGCCCTTTTTGTGAAGGGTTTTTTTCGAGATAGGGTCTTGTGAACTATTTGCCTGGGCTGGCTTCGAACTACTATTCTCCTGACCTCTGCCTCCTTAGTAGCTAGGATTACAGGAGTGACCAGAGATGCCTAGCCAGCTGTGTATTTTAGTTTTCAATGTCAGCCCTTGCTTAACATTGAAATATGTTTGGCCCCTTCCAGGCACACTCAGTGATTTTAGGATGTTCCTCACCCTTTTCTGAAGAGATTATTTTGAACTGCTAAATTGTGACTGCTAGGCCCTAACCCTCTTGTTTCCTCTGCTCTCCCAGTAGGACTGGGCATAAAAGCTGGTCTGCCACCTAAAGAAGGAACACTGCGGCTCATACCTTTCCATTAAGAGTAGAAAGGGCTCCTTTGCTCCGAGTAACTGGACCCTCCCTCCTCTGTGGTTTATTATTGTAACCCTTGCTGTTTGTGTAGATAATTCTGCAAAACCCTGTTTGTTGTGTTTGACCACTGAAGTCTAGGTTTGTTTTAGTTTGTGGTGGGGCTCTGAGCGTGCACTGGAGTGTGCTGTCTACCCAAGGCAGGCAGTTGGCTGTGTGCTGTAGCCTCCTGGCTGCTTGCACAGAGCCTCAGGGCAGCGGAGGTAAGAAGTGAGGGCCTATGCAGGTCTTTCTGACAGCCCATGCATGCGTGTGGCCTTCAAGAGTCCACTTTTCCTCTGTTTGCTTCAGCTGTCGTTGCTGCCTGGGGCAGCTGCCCTACTGAACAGTTGCCTCTGATGGTTTTTGACAAACCCCCTGGGGAAGGCTGTTCGTTCACGCTGTGTAAGTTCTGAGTCAATCAGCGCAGGACAACCCTGCCAAAAGCTGTAGGTCATGTGGGGACAGTGCTGGGGAGGGAACTTTGGAGAGCTCCCTGCCTGGCCTGCCTCCCTCAGTGCTGCTGGTTTTCACAACCATGGCGGTGGTGAGGCCCCTAGTTTGGGAGGCTCCCTCAGAGGTGGGGATAGGGCAGGTTAAAATGCCACCAAGTGCACTATCTCACCAAAACTTGGTGTTTTTAAACAACCCAAGTAGCCTTTCCAGAGTTCTGGAAAGGTTGGGTTTTTTTTTTTTTTTTTTTTAATTTACTTTTGCCAGTGTTCTTGGTGCTTTCCTGGAGGCTTTTTGGGGTTCCTTGCTGTGCCATTCTGAAAGTGCCTCCATCCCTCTAAATTGTAACCCATCTACATTATCACATTTGAAATGTTAATCCTGCATGGAAATGTTTGGACCTTGCATTTTTTCCCTTGTAGCGCTGGGGACAGAACCCAGGGCATTGGGCACGCTAGGCAAGCGCTCTGCCACTGAGCTGCACCTCCAGCCCTGGGTCATGTTTTTAACCCATAATCACAAGCTGTCTTTTTATTGGTATTGTTGGATTTTGGACTATATTTTTATTATTCTCTTTAAATTTACCTATCGTGTTTTTAATTCTCTTTTTTTTGGCAGTACTCAGGTTTTTGAACTCAGGTACTCTGCCACTTGAGCCTTGCTCTCCTTCCCTCCATCCCCCAGTCCTTTTTGCTTCAGTTATTTTTCAGATAGGTCTTGCATTTTTTCCTTGGCAGTCTTCCTACTTAGGCTTCCCACACAGTCAGGATGACAGGCGCATGCCACCGTGTCCAGATATTGGTTGAGATGGGGTCTTGCTAACTTTTTACTGGTGTTGCTAGCCTTAAAACATGATCCTCCTGATTTCTGCCTCCCAAATAGTTGGGATTACAGGAGTGAGCCACCTCTCCTGGCTTGGCCTCAGACCCTTGACCCTCCTGCTTTAGCCTCCTAAGTGCTGCAGTTACAGGCAGGTGCCACCACACCTAGAATAATTCTTATTTTATTATTACTTACTGTTATTCTCATACTATGCCTGATTTCTAATTTTTAAATTTTACCATTAGTGTGTATGTATAGAAAACGTGTGCATGTGTGTGGTTTAGGAAGGGACAGCTGTGTTGACATTTCAGCAGTGTGGTTATGCTGCGTCTGCACAGATTTCCTGTGTGGAGTCCTGAGCTACGAATCTCTAGGCATATGTCTTATGTCAAACTCGGTAATTCTTTCCCGTTGTTTTGTTTTGGGTTTGTTTGTTTTTCTTTTTTTTTTTTTTGCCTCTCTTCTTCTTCACGTTGGCCTGACTTTAGGCCGTCTCTTTCCCACTCGTCTCCATTCTGCTAGCAACCCCATCTGATGAATTTGTTATTTTAGTTATGTTTTTTAGAAACAACCTGACATTTCTTTCCATCTCGTGGCTGCAGTTTCCTCCTTTCCACTCATATCAAGCATCCACCCCAGGTTCTGGAAAAATTAAACAGCTGTTCAAGGCATTTGGTGATTCTGGCATCTGGGCTGCCTGGGACTTGCCTTAGTTGCTTGCCTGTCCTGTGCTGGCCAAGACTTCTTGCTTCCTTATGAGCCAGGTCGTTTCCTTTGAGTAGTGCAGTGCAGGGCTGTAGGCCTTGTTGCTGTTTATCTGGCTCTGTTCAGATCACCGGCTCTGACGCCTTTTGTGGGTTGTGTTTCCACTAGCAGTTCAGATTGCCTTTGCTATGCTCACCTGGGGCCCAGGTGTGCCACCCAGTGGCTAATCAGGTTTGGTTCTCACTGTGTTTGGGTTGATGGTTAATTCCAGCCAAGGCCAGGCACGTGCTGCTCAGAATGAGCCAAGGAGGTTGTAGACAACTTTCTGGTGTCCCATCCCATGTCTTCCCTGTCCAGGATCTCCCCCACACTTTCTGGCTTCCTGGGGCTCCCCTTTTCAGTCTCAATGCCAGAAAGCTGTCCTGGTTCCACAGCTGTGTTCAAAGGAAGAGCTGGCTCCACTGTGCTCCTATCTTGGTGGGAATCTCTGTTTTTTTTTTTTTTAGTCCAAATACAGGACTTGGTTTAACTCTTTCCATCTCAGTATGGTATTGATTTAGTCACCTCAGGCTTCCAGAATCCTTGCTAGCTCTCCTTCTAGAGTCCAGCATGTTACCAGGTCTTTCTTTTGTTGTCACAGTCAGGTTTGATAAGCATGCCTCTTTGGTCCCTGGTAAAAATGGTAAGCCCAGGCTAGGGTGCGGCTCAGTGGTAGAGTGCTTGCCTGGCATGCATGAGGCCCTGGGTTCCATCCCCAACATAGCAGATAATAAAAAAGTGTTGAGCCAGACTGCTGAGGACAAAGCCGTGGAGTATCCACCCAACTCTGCAACTGACACCACCTTTTCCTGCCACTCTCAGTGGAGCTGCTCTTGCTGCTGATCAGCCAGGCTCACTGTCACCAGGCTCACTGGGTCCCCTAGCTCACCCATGGGGTCATCACAGACAGAAGAGGTTGTTCAGTGCGGGCAGTAGATGAAGCTCCAGGCTCTGCTCCACCCTGGCTCACTCTGACATTATCTGGCTTCTCCTCTTTGCTCTTTTTGTTTTCTTAGCTTATAAAATAACAAGCATTTTCTAGATCTAGAATTCTGCAGTTTGATGACTTAGCAGACACTTTGCTGTCCTTAAGACAGACCGTATTTTGGGACTACCCACAGCAGAAACTCTTAAGAACTCTCACAGGACAAGGAGCAGGTCGGTTTTCTTTTCTTTTTTGTGGCGGTACTGGAGTTTGAACTCGGGGCCTCCATCTCAAGCCACTCCACCAGCCCTTTTTTGTGTTGGGTTTTTTTCAAGATAGGCTCTTGGGAACTATTTTGCCCAGGCTGCCTACAAACTCCTTCCGATCTCTGCCTCCT